TCCGTAGTGGAGGGGGGGGCGGCCGCCCACCAAAATTGTCACAGGATGTCACAGGTTTTCACCCCTCAGGCGGTTTGCACCGCTGGAAAACGTATCTCCTCAAAAATTCTCAGAAGATGTGACTGCGACTTATGCCTTTGAGGCTGCGTCATTTACAGGGACACCCACGACTGTAGCACCCCCAGCAACAGGGGAGGCCGGTGTCGGGGTGGGTTTACGAAAACAAAAGAAGTATGCAGCTATGCCGACCACAAGCAGCACCAAAGGAATGCCCAATCCAAGCCCCAAGCCCAAAGCGAGCGGATTGTCACTGGCCGGGGGATTTGCGGGAACCGCGCACAGGTGAACTTGATGCTCGTAGGCGTGGATGCCTGCACAGTCATGACTGCCGCCGGCATCATATAGCGGGCAGTCTGTATGCTCTTGCGGGTCACGCGCCTGACTGGAATAAAGGTTGCGCATGTAGGTAAGCCCGCATGGGCCCGCGAAAGCATCGCCGTAAAGCGCGTGCATCAAGTCACTGAGCAACGTCTGCGGCTGTGCTGGCATCTGCTCAAACCAGCCACTGCCAACATGGCCAGTCCAGGGATTGGGATCGCTCACAGAGCCGTCGACTCGATAGACTGCCTGTGCTTCCCGCGCCTTCAGGGTCACGCTGCTGCTGCCAAGACTGAAACTCGAAACAAAGTCATCCAGCGTGTAGTCTGCATGGTTCAGCACGTACGTCTCGTCAATGATGACATCAGCTGACGCGAGGTGCTGCAAGTAATGCTCCAGTCCATCCTGGTTGCATTCATAGGTCCCAGAGCCATCCGAGTTGGTCGTCAAAGTGCAGCCATCTGCCGCTTGCCCTGGCATCGGGAGGAGCCGTGCACCAGCATCTTGGGTGATGTCCCGCTTGAAGAGGGAGTTGCTGAAGAGGTAGAACATCCCGCAACGGCACCAGTTGCCGTCTGCCTTTTGCCTCCAACTGCCCGGTGTTACCCCATCACACACGACATCAGAGCAGCCCTGATGAGTTACCCAGGCCACTGAAGGAACGCCAGTCGCTCGAGCTGCTGCGAGACGAGAGGCTTCAGATTGCAGCGCTCTGTAGTCCCCCAGAACCTTTCGAAAGATCTCTCCGGCACTGACCTCGAGATTGAAGAACAGGGCAACGAAGCGAATCCACTCGGCACGAGGCAGGATGCCTGAGTCAACCGACATGGCGAACACCACGTCCTTGGTTGTGTTGCTCGCTCCGCCGCCCCATGCGTCTGTGAAGACGGCGTCTGCATCCATGGCTAGTGGAACCCAGTCGCTGCTAGAAGAAGAAGTGTGCAGACCCGGAGTGCATACCTCAAGCAGTTGCATGCAAGGCGACCCGGTGTAAGTTAGGTCGTGTAGAATAATGGCTTCCGTCACTGAGAGCATCTCGAAGAAATGCACGGGGTTTGTCCCATAAAAAGCCAGTTTTGAAATGGGGACGGAGAAGAACCACGCGTCCTCCGACACATCGTTGAAGGACGTGGTCGGCTGCGTCGTGCCGCATTCGTACAGCACGAGATCCGGAGGGGCCTGGCCCCTGAGTGCCGGATTTGGCCATCCCGACCTCAAGGTGGTCAGTGCCGCGTTGTACTTGATGACTTTGTAGGTGGAGTAGTAGGTCACCGTGAAGGCATCTTAGCTGATTTTGCATCTGAAAAGTGCAATTAACCCTGGAGGCAGCGTAGAATCTCGAATTCGGCTGGTTGCGAAATTCACAAGTTGCTTAACCTCCGGCCCAGTGGCTGGCAAATTGGACCGTCTCGCCGTC